ACAATCCACGATTTTCTTCTATTATAACTCATTGGCCTGCTGTGCTGCAGTACTTTAATTACCTTCAAGTGCTCTGTTTCTCTTGCTTTGCATCTTTGTACATATGCAAAGGAACCCAAAATGGCCATTTAACTAAAGTATCCACAACTTCCCAGAAGCAGGGATTGGTAATTACTGAACAGATGGTTGTTTTCTATGAGCTGGAAGATAAGCTTCCATAAATATTCGTAGCTTGAATGGTGAGTGAGTCAGATCCAGTAGAGAGACCAAACTCTGATTTTACCACCATCCAGGTGGGCTCTGGATAATCCTGGTCAGCAGACATCACGTGTACTCTTCAGAGTCAGAAGCCAGGTTCCAACACCTGTGATGACTTCGATCTTTTGCATCCAGTAGTCTAGACCCTGCATCCCTTGCAGGGTCAAGCCCCTACTACCTTAAAAATATGGCATACAGTTTCAAGTTTGACCTCAAAAGTTAGATGTTTTTCCCCCCCACCACTGTTATGTAGAAGAAAATCAGCCTTTAATGCCAGGGTTTTCAGGAGAGGCTCATTGACTCAACATATTTAAATTATTTTAATAGTTTGTACTGAATTTATACCCTGGCCTATGCTGTATTAAATAGCTTAAATTGAAATTTAATTTTTTTAATGGAAAAAAACATAATTATAAATTAAAAGTATAAAGAAGTACAATTTTTAATTAAATTCTAACTTTACATTTTAAATCCAACTTTTTTTATCATAGACTTTTATCTACCCTGGTAAATTAAGATTTAATTGGTTGCTGTGCCGTGATCCCTCCAAATGTTGACTTGCATTTGTGTGCCATAAAAAACAAACATAGAAGGGTGTTTCATGCACTGACAGTGGCAGAGATGGTGCCTTGTTTTAACCTAGCCAGTATTTTGATAGTCACTTGCATATCCTGGGAATACAAACCAGGGAGACTAAATTAAGCTGTAAGTAGCTACTTATTTAACCCATAACCACAGTTTAAATTAGTATATGTGTATATGACTTTAACAATGACAGACTAAGAACAGAATGCCAAAATAAAACTGAGGCACCCTGGATGTGAGGTCCTTTGGACCATAGGCAGCTGTTGACTTTTAGTCTGCAAGCCTTGGAGGGTTCCTTGGAGCTTCCAGTCTAGCCTTAGATCTGGGAAGCTTTTATTTAATTAAAAGTAGTTATACAGCTTTTTCCCTTGCGCTTCTTAGTAAAGCTTCATTTGGGGAAGTCTGCTGTAACTGGGTGTGGGGAAAGTTCTTCCTTCTCCAGTAAGTTTTCAGATTTAAGTGAAACTTTTTCTTTTTTTTTTTTTTTAAATTGGAGTTCTATATGGGACCGTGTGTTGAGTTGATTTACAAAAACCACTCCACTTATGTGAAGTTCATCTTCGAACATCCAACTTTAAATTTCTTGAGCCCGGGTAAGCCTTATTTCTCTCAGATTAGTGTAGTGGTCCTAGTGTGACCTGTTACCGGTATTCACATGCACGGGTACTTGGCAGTTGTTTCTCTTTCTCCCTCCACACTTGAGCAAGGCGTGTAAAATGTCTTGCAGAATTTTTAAGACTAATGGTCAGACTCCTATCGCTCAAAGGCAAAACACCATTCAAAGCCTTAACGTTACAATGCCGTTGTCTGTGGAGCATGTACTACTCTATTATGAAATTCTGTAATTATTAACTACCTCTTTTGTGTATTGACTCCAAAAAAAACATTCTTGTACCGGGCTCATCGTTTGCAGTCAGCAGCTTTTTCAACTTGCCCATCTCAGAAAAGGGAGAGCCAAAATTTAAGCCTCATTATTACAATGGTAACATGTTGTCTTTTATCTAGATAAAATGGATCATAGTAGTGAAAAGAGGACATGCCTAGCAGATGCTGGGCAAGGAGAAGCAAATCTAAAACACTTCAGTTATAAAATGTCCTGGGATTATTTTTAAGATGCGTGTGTTCTGAGGGACTGGTCTGCCATTTTAAGGTCATCTAATGAAGATGCTAATAGCAACATGACTGAGGCAAAACTACTTGACTTTTTTTTTTAAGCTCCCATATCTGATCAGCTAGTTGGATAGCAGCACAGTGGTCTCTTGAACACTGCCACCTCCCAGCTCAAAATAAGCATCTGCCTTTTATTTCTTTTCCTTTCTACTGTAGACTTTTCTGGATTTTAGGAGTTTTTCCAGTTACGAGACTGGCACATGCAGAAGGAGAGCTGTCACTTAGATGGATGCATTCTTTGCACGCTTGTGCCTCATCCAAAAAGCCAGAACATTTATTTGCCAAAGATGCTGTTGCATGGCAGTTGCAGTCACTTAAAGGTAGTCAACTAGGGGACAGACGGATATAACATTTGAAGCGTTTCCAATGTAGCTGTATTTTGAAACTCTTCAGCCGTAGGCTTCTTGCTGCATGAAGCAGCATGTCCTCCAGCAAAGGGGTACCAGGGGCTGTTGGAGCTGAAGCTCCATGTGCCACTCCAGCTGCTGCCACAGGGCAGGGGGAGCGGAGCAGTCTCCAGTGCTCTCCGCCTCCTTGTTCTGGGTCTCCTGGCTCTGAGAGTGGAAGCAAAGCCCATAGGGTGCTTGCTCATGGTCTGCCCTGCTCTCTCCTCCTCCCTTCCATGGTTCAAAAATACTACATCTGTCCATGGTCCTCATCTCCCTGACACTCTCTCTAACCAAAGTTTACTGCAAAGGAATTCACTCTATCCAATTGAAGAGGTCACTAGTTTGGGCTGCAGTATGTCACCTTTGTGTTGTATCACAGATGTCACCAACTTACTTTCTTAAACTGAATGGCTCCATATGAGTGGTGTCTGGCTCTTGATGCAGTGTAATCCCACAGCATGGCTGATGGGCAAAAGTGAGGACTTATCTTCTGTCATCACGGTTGGAAACACTAGCAATTTTAAAACGGGAATGCCTGGTCCTGCAAGCAAGCCCTGGCTTCAAAAGATGCCTGAGGTTTTTCATTCTTAACTTTCCTATGTGGAAGCAAGCAGGTCTGGGGGAGGGGGAGGGGAAACAAAACTTAAACTGCCTTTCAAAACATAATTGCATAATGTGTGTGTGTGTAGTTTGTTTGTTTTTGTTTTTCTTCTTCCCCCCAACCTGCTGCTCTAGTTAATGCTCAATACCTTTCCTTCCCTACCCCCACCATGTTGGCTGAGCCCAATTTCAGATATTGGACCTACTAGTGTTGGCCATCTGTAAGACTTCCCGAATGACCTTGTGAACTCATCTAAACTGTTGCTGTTCTGCCTCAGAAACCCCCCTGTGACTGCTCCGTGCTTGCCGCAGTTGCCAAGAGCCCGACATAGTTGCATTCTGTAGGCCTTGTGGATGCAGGTGACCGCACAGCCTGTCCCTGGCTATACCAAGTACAGCAGAGAGTGCTCCAGGACCCTGCTCTGGTTTTTTCCTGTTTATGGTCTGGGCTTGGAGTAGTGCCTTTGAATTTGGTCCTGGATATAAAACCCAGTGCCAGGTGTTCTCTTGCCTTTGCTGGTCCCTTGTACATAATAGCAGGATAAGTAAGCTGCTTTGCAGTCAGCTTGGTGGGAGGAGGGAAGGGAGGTACTTTTTGTATGTAGAGTAGCAAACTGTTGCTTTAGGAGTATAACTGACACCTGCCCCATGGGCAGGGAGCAGTCTCCCTTCTGGAGCGCTGTTAACAGAAGCGACCCTGCAGGACAGGGTGTCCCTTTCCTCCCCCTCCACCAGTGACGTGCCTGCACATAAATTGTTAATGCACTTACACAAGGTTACAAGAGACACTAAATGAAGCTGAGGGGCTGCTAGCTTTAAAGTGAGGAAAAACATTCTGAAGTGTTGCATAATAGCCCTGTAGTACTCATGAATTGCAGAGTTATCTATTTATGTGAGATCTCTGACTACATCAAAGTGTGTTGTAAGCCTTCTACAAAATGACCCTATAGAGCAGTGTTTCTCAACCCGTGGTATGCGTACCCCCAGGGGCATGCAAGATCTGGGCAGGGGGTATGTGGGTGCCACGTTTTGAGTTTGGCCTGCCCCCCCACTTGGTGGGTTGCAGGCGTCTTTGCCTGTTTGGGCCAGAAGTTCTGGCTGCTGCCCCTCCCGCTGTGTCCAGTGCACTGGGGTGTTCACTCACCGGCGTCAGTGTGCCAGGGGACAGGGAGGAGGGCCCTGTGCAGGCTGCTTTGTCCCAGGCTGTGGTCTGCGAGGAAGAAGTGGGATTCTGCTCGTGGCGGCAAAACCAGAAGTGCTACGGTGGGACTTCTGGTTTTGCTTTTGCTGTGTCGATCGGCAAGTGGTACATAAGGTACCAAAGGCTGTAGAGCGCTTTCTGGAATTTTTTTCTGACTTGCTAGGTCTTAGACCAGGGGTGGGCAAAATATGGCCTGCGGGCCAGATCCAGCCCACAACGGGTCCCCCGGTTGCACCCAGCCCAGGCTGTGGCACGTGTGGCCAGACTTGCTTCCCGGCTGCTGCTGCTGCTGA